CCACTCTTGTACATGGAAACGGACAGTCTAAATGAAGTCGTTTTACGACCTATAGACTTTTTACAGAACGAAATACAGATGAAATACCCTACGGATCTTTCTAGAGAAGAAGAAGAAGATCCAAGTTATGTATCAAGTGAAGAGCTGGTCTTGCTACGAACAAAGAGGCAAACAATAGAAGCTCTACAATCTTCCTGCAAAGCTGTAGAAAAATTTTGGCAAGTATGGCAGACTCATTACTTAACATCATTACGAGAAAAGCATCGGAGAGACATAGAACAAAAACGTGGATCCTCATACGAACCACGAAATGGGGACTTGGTACTGATCGCAGACCCAGTGCAACCACGTCAAGCCTGGAAACTTGGACGAATCATCGAACTGGTCAAAAACCAGTGTGGGGTCATAAGGGAGGCAGGTGTCATGCTACCCTCACACCATAAAATTCGCAGGCCAGTCAACCTTCTCGTACCACTGGAACTAGAAGAGTACCAGTCCGAAAACACAAAGGAAGCAGATGCGGGTGGTAGTGAAATCACACCTACTACGAAGGAAACAACCATGCATCCGTACAACCTTCGTCCAAATCGTAAGAAAAACTATGCCGAGAACATCTTGAACACATCAGTACTACTTGTCACCATGTTGGGACTGCTATTCACAAATGACGGAGTGAGGGGACAAAAGGTACCAGACCAAGTAACAAAGATCACCAGATTTATAAAATGCATTCCGGGTGGGGTACAACTCATTTCCGAGGTACAAGTGCCTTATCAAGTATGCGCTGTGGACTTTTGCAAGACATTTGACTCGCCACAATACAACGAAACAGTAAAGTTCCCACCTAGTATAGTGCTGCATGAGCACAAGGTCCAATGGAAACTCAGCATCAATAACGCCATAGACATAATGGAAGCAATGTGCCCATCAGCACCATTTTGTGAATCAGTAGATTGTCTTTTCTGTGCCCCACTCATCTTCAATCCTGAATGCTGGCCGGTTGGAGCGATAATAGCGCTTACGGTACTTCTCTACTTGATAGCAACAGGTTGTTACGCTCTACTGTACGTTCCTCTAGTAGTAGGCAAACCTGTACGACTGCTGATATACAGCATCTACCTACTATTGCGTCATCTCATCAAGTGCTGCAGAAGGACACAAGACCAAGCA